GCTTAGACTTTGGTTCTCCCTGCTTCCCGTCAGAGCTTTAACATGTAGATGGAACCAAGGAACTAGAGTCCAATCATTTCTACGTTGGGTGAATCTGTGCTCGTACACATGTGCATGTTCGGGAGTAGGTGGCAATTCCCAGAAGTAGCGTTTCCAAAGCGTGTAGCCTAATATTAATATTTTATTTACATACCAGAGTGAGCTAATGATTTTCTGTTTGTCTGGTGGTCTGTTGTTTTCCTTTGTCATTGTTCTTTTTTGTGTGTACCTATCATTGAATTCATCAGAAACATTGTGTTGAAATTTCTAAATATTTTGTTTTAATTACCAGAAGTTCTAAATGTTTTTTTACATTTTTGCTTTGTGCCTCTGAAAAGTTGTCGTTTGTCATTCCATAGGTTTTGGGAACTAACACTTTTCTATTTCACTCAATACTTAATGTTCCTTAATCACCTTCACATCTCATATAAACTTAATTACAGTAACAATTATTGGTATTAATGTAGACTCTCCTGTTGTCAATTTTCTTATTCTTAATCATGTATTGAGGTAAAAGTACATGACGTTTAAATAAATGTTCAGAATTCACACACTTCCGAAAACCATCTAGTGTATGTTAGAAGGATGTATCCTAATGAAGACCTACTCCCATATAGTACACAGAGAGAAAATAGTACTTGATTAAATAAGTAATGGAGGTTAAGAATAAATGCTTGAACACCGTACATACTTTCACAATTGTTCATATAGCATGACACTCACTGAGACCGAGAGAGGCTACCCCCCACCTATCGAGCACATTGGTCAACCAACAGCTGTTAAGAAGGAAATCGGTGAGATCGAATATGTCTTAATTAACAAATGTGACCCACCATCCCAAAACCAGGCTGAAGTCGGTATTTGTGATGTTGGACAATTCCTCTCCTTCAGCTTTTTTACACTTTAGCGTGATCCATGTTAAATTGAACTTCTGTCTGTAGTGAGCTTCTTACTGGTAGTGATAGCTGTAAACTGCAATGAAAATCTGAACAGTGGAAGTTCCATTATTTTAGGGTTATGAAGTTATCTACTTCAGCCTTGTTTTGGGATGGTGGGTCACAAATATTGATTATACT